GACTTTGGTATAACTGCATTGTCCTAACAGTACCTAAATGACTTAAAATTGACTTAAAATGACATCATCAATATGTCCCATTTGATTTTTACAAATCTACAGCTTAATGTATGAACTTTGTTTTCAAATTAAGATTTTTCACAGTTTAATGGAATCATGCACTATCATCAGACATATCCAGATAAAAGAGCAAAAAGTTTTTTAAAAAGAAAAAAAGAGAGCAGAGCAGTCATAAAAAATAGACAATATGGAGAAATAATGTACAAGTATAGAATATTATTATCATTATTTAATTTGATGCAACTATTCACTTTAGTAAGCAAATTTCTAGATATTGAGTGAATAACACTACAGAAAACAACAGGAATAGTACTTTATTATTTTCTAACTATCATTTATCCTAACATTAAAGACAGAACGCATATAGATAAGTGTGTGCAAAAAAAATTTGTACAGGACAAGTACTTTACAAGCGTGGCATAATAGGAAGCATACATGCATCTAATAAATGGCTATAACTTGAACATAAAAAGAGCATTGAAAGAATCAAAACTATACAACATGCAAAACAATAAACAATTATATAGTATTTTGCAAGACTCACCAAATTTGTATATTTTGAGAGGTATTCTTCTACATCAAAATAGAATTACTTGCTTTACTTTTCATGAAATTAATTTGGCTAACTGCAAGAGCAAGGGACAAATACATTGAATGATAGGTACATACATAATCATAGGCGGCTGCAGAATTTTGAATTTACCCAGGCTCATCAATTATTTATAACAATTGGGGGTGTGGTCAATTAATTAAATGACTGACATTAATGATACTAGCCACTTGAAGCCAGTTACCACAAAAAAAAACTGTTAAGATGAACTGATACAGTGTGTGAACAGTTGTGGTCAAAGAAAATGAATTAAAGTGATTATCTCACTCCTAATAATAACAAAACACACCATTTGGGTGTGGTTTTGATTGAAAGCTACCCAGGCATAGCCTCGGCATGCCTGGGCCTGCAGCCACCTATGTACATAATTCATTATGCAACTTAAAGTTCCTGTCAAAATTGTAAAGAAATTCACCCAAAAAGTTTGAAAAAATGCGTTATGCATGTCTGTCTCATATTCATCACTTTCATGTATAAGAATATATCACAAAGTCTAAAGTTTACAAATACTTCCAGTAATAGATTTTAATCATTAATGAACAACAAAGATAATTTTGCAAGTAAAAATGTATAACAAAGAAAATTATCCATGTGTGTATTGCTTACTTCCTTACTATGTCCAGGTTGAGTATATTCAGCAAAGATCTTGAGTTACAATGAATAAAGAATTTAGAAGCCTCAAAACTAATTTAACTTCCACACCCACTAGGACAAAGTATCCTTAGAGTATGAGCTACCAACTGTATCCAGCAAATGACACCACCTGAAAAATATAACAAGAAGGATAGCATGATAATACATGTAAACTGTGAGTGTAATTATACTCAAACCTTTACAAACTTCTCAGAAAACTGCTATGTCCTTCTAGTAAACATACATAAAATAGTGACAAGGCCTCCATTTCTCATAATGGAAAAGTGAACTGAAGAGAGAAAGGTTGTTTTGCAATAAAAAAGGAGACTCTTACTTTATAAAGCACAATTAGACTGAGATGGTGAGTGTTTTCCCTTTGCTTAACCGGTATATATGCTCCATTGCTGTGAACTACTGCCTCATAGTAGTACACACATAACTTGTTCTGCAACAGTTTCTGTAGTCAGAAAAAGTGTACAATGATATGCTTTTAGTGCCATTAACCAATTCTTCAAACTACAGCAGAAAGAAAATGTAATGTAAGTGTCACACCTAGTTATGTGTATCAATAAAATGCAAAACAGTTAATCTATGCATGTACATTATAGTCTTAAAACGAATTTTACAACTTGCAACTTTTCCTCACATACTCAAGTGCAATAGCATGTGGATGTACCACAGAGTATAAGGAAGAAACTTTCTTAGCAGAAGGTGCCATTTGGTAAAACATTTAAAAAATAAGACTCTTC